AATTGTGCTATACAAATAAATCGTCATTGTCAGTGTGGCCTAGTAGAAGTCCTGATGTCGGCATCATATCTGAGACTAAATGTATTCAGAAGTTCTTTTAATAGCATGATGACCTCATCCTTCAGAAATATGTTGGTTTTTAACCAACCTATCTATCCAGATTAGATCTTTTTACAGATCCTATCGCTTAAAGTACTTTAGTATTTTTCCACAAACACTGAGGTCTGAATATGTCGATGTTACTGGATTGTGGACCATTTAGTCCACCAATAATAATAATATAAAACATTATAATGATGGTATATTTCCGCTATAGCTAATCCATTCCCTCTGTTGGTGTGCAGACGGCTGAAGTGTTGAAGACGCAGAATAACGTGGTGACGCTGTCTGCGCTGGACCGATGGACGTGGTACTGTGTGAGAGTTCAGAGTCGATATGACTTCTACAACAAGAGAAGTGTCTCCAGTGACACACACTGCGCACGCACCGAAGGTCAGCAGATCCAACACACACACACACACACACACACACAGTGTGCTTTCTAGTGAAATCATTAAAGGGATACTTCAGGATTTAGCATTAAGCTTTGTATCAGTAGAAAACCAGTAGTGTTTCCGAAAAAAGTGGTGTTATTATTTATTTTTTTAATTAAAAGTTATAAATCACATTGGTTGTGGTTCTTTTTATAACCCTTTAGTGTTCGTAAAGTATGGATTAGCCTAGATAATGTATTAGCTTTCAGTTGGAGGATAACAGTTGATAAGCAGAGCTAAGCTACTCTGTTAGCATGGTCCTGCCTGCATCATATTTGTAATGTGAAAGTCGTGTTATATGCATTAGGCTAACACATCCTGCTACAATGCAGTTTAGCACCAATTCGATGGATATTTATCAAATAACTCACGATGTATCAAAGCAAGCCTAGTTGTCTCCATTTTTCGGATTCTGCCGCCTGTAACCGGTGGGCGTGGTTTGGGAGTGGCCTCGTAAGGGCAGCAAAGCAAGTGCATTCTGGGAGTTGTCGTCTTTCAACCACATAAAAAATAAATTTTCTGCCTTTTCTCAGTCTAGAATGCTGCAATTTCAAAAATCATTTCACATTTGTACTATATAAATGACCAATATTAAACACACATTCATCTTCCCAGAGCTGAAGTATCTCTTTAAGAAGGGTCATATATGATTGTTAATAGCAGATTTCTTGTGTCATTTATGAGGCATGGTAACCTCATGCTTCAAGAAAAGGTTAATGAGCAACCCTCACTCAAATGTGTCCTAAACATGCAGCCATAGAAGTAAAAGCTAAATATGGCGCTCCAGTGACACAACTTACCCATCACTGCACCGAGTAAAGGATGCCATTCTGAGAAACATCATTCATTTAATAAACGTAATTCTCCTAAACTACATCATTTAATTGAGCAACATCTGTGACATTCCTAACCTAGCATTCATGGATGATGTTACATAAGGCCGAATCTATGCGTCCGGTGTCGTGGCTCGTCCCGATGATGCTGTGTGTGATTTCAGGACTGGCTCCGTACTGGCAGATCTGTCTGTACTTCCTGTTGTCGCTGGCGCTGACCTTCCTGCTGGCGCTGCTGCTGTGGTTCAGCTTTTACAGGGTGTTCAAGTCCGTAAAGAGCATCTTCTACCCAAATGTTCAACTCCCGCATCACATTCAGGAGGTAAAAACATTTATAACATCTATAAACATTGTTGCATGCTATGATATCACAAGGTTTCAATGACCGTTGATTAAAGATGTGTTCGTTAGTTATGCATAGATATCAACTGTCTGTCAAAACACATCAGATTTCTCCAGGAACGACAAAAGACGCCGTGTTAGCCGTGTGTTAGCCGTGTGTTAGCCGTGTGTTAGCCGTGTTAGCTGTAGTGCTGTGTTGAAAAAATTGATTCACCAATTCTGAATCGATTTTCATATTAATTTCTAAAGATCGATCCGTAGCTCAGAGAATTGATGTATTAATAGGCCTACATTTTCCCAAACTCCCCTGAACTTTAACTTGCCGCGAGTGATCCCTATGTGCGCATTGAAAGCTTTCACTCAGCGCGCACGTTGTTACGACAATGGAGTTTGATTCATTAAACCGTTCATTCAACGAACACGTTCAAAAAAGCAGATTCATTAAAATAGATGTAATGAAACAACTTCAAGGTGTTAATAGGTGGTTTGCAGTCACGTGATTGTGTTGACGCGCGTAATGCAGATGGAGGACAAGGAGTGAAGAGCACAATGGACGAGATGGAGGAAAATCCGTACTGTACTACTTTAGACGCTATTACAAGAGAAATATATCAACAGAAAATCGAAACATATGTTGGACGTGATCCTTACGTTATGAAGAGGAACGATTTTCAACTGAATTGAGAGATTTGCCTGTAGATATCAGCAACTAACTCGTCTTACAGACATACTTTGACTTTACAAAGTTCGGAAACTGGTACGTTACACAAACAGCCACATAAGTGTATTTAAACACCTGAATAATGTAATTATAAGCCACATAAATAATGTATTAACTCACATTTGACGAAGTGGTCACTGCACACAAACACACACAGGCATTTTCCCATTCGGCTCCTCCCGACCGCAGACGTAGGTTTGCAAGGCATTTTTCCTGGTGTTTTTCTGTCAATTTCTTGTATATTCCCCCTTATGAACAACAACTTTGGGCACACGATAAAAACTCCTCATGGTTTGATCGATTTGAGCAAACATAAACGACACAAAACATAGGCATTTTGAGTGTGTTATAGTGCTTCCTAATATAGAAAATCACTTCCTGCCCTCCGTCTGCGTTTCGCACCATGGCAACGCAGTGACGTGACGTCACGTGAAAACAAGCTATTATTTTGAACTTTGAGTTCACTGAAGGCTCAGCTGAGCAGCAGTGCGTCGCATGGGCAAATTGATTGATTCAATGCGTGACTCACTGATATTATTTCCTCGTGCTGTGGGATGCTGATCAGCGCATTTATGGTAAATACCCGTAACGTGAACGTTAAAAGGATGATTCGACAACTATTTCGCGTTTCTTTGACACGGCACGGCAAGCTTTCCACGAATACATATGACTTCAGAGACAGACGCAGGTAATCGCACGCGCTCTGCCGATCTCTCTCATTCACTACACATCACCACGGTAAACAGTCTCGTTATCATTATGAACTTGTCTAATATTTAATACACATGGGTATAGAAGGGTATAGCCTTATAAAAAACGTGAATATCACGGTTCCTGGTTACTTGCACTCCTCCTGCTGATATAGCTCTGCGTCCTCTGTCGTCTACACCAGTGCAAGTTAGTGAAAGCAGGTGTATCGACACGGAAGGGGAACTGTTCTTTACAACAATCAATAGGCTACTACATTAATTTGCAGTTGAAATAATAAGTTATTACAGGACTGTAGTTATGCAACATATTGATACTATTATTATTAATAGTATAATAGTATCAATATGTTGCATAACTACAGTCCTGTAATTCAGGTAACAGCTGGGAAAAAAATGCTTTTTTCAAAAACAAATATCTAAATCTCGAAGATTGGATCGAATCGAATAATGATAATCGATTCAAGATCTTGAGAATCGGAATCGAATCGATTCTTGAAATTTGAATCGAAACACAGCTCTAGTTAGCCGTGTGTTGGCCGTGTGTTGGCCATGTTAGCTGTGTGTTAGCCGTGTTAGCCGTATGTTGGCCATGTGTTGGCCATGTTAGCTGTGTGTTAGCCGTGTGTTAGCCGTGTTAGCCGTATGTTGGCCATGTGTTGGCCATGTTAGCTGTGTGTTGGCTGTGTTAGCTGTGTTAGCCTGTGTCACCGCTGTGCTGGAGACTCGCTGTTGTCTCACAATTATGAAAGCTCTGTCGTTAGCGTGTCATTTGGATGGCGTGTGGTTTGGTGGTGTGATCTGAATGCGAGAGCAAAGGTTTGTGTCGTCTCTCACCTGCAGGTGTTTCCGCTCGAGCTGGTGCTCAACCACTTCCTGTTACCACACGCGTGCAGAAACCACACATCGCTAGCAATCAACTGATCAAACACATTTAAACTGTGACACAAGACTGTTCCTTCAACTCTCTGCTCAAAGAGTCCTCAAGAATATCATCTATGACAGAACTGTGTTCAACACTGATAATAATCATCAGATCCTCATATTAGAGTGATTTCTGGAGGATCATGTGACACTGACTGGAGTAATGATGATAAATTACAGTTTACTGTATATTCACATAGAGAACAGATGATTTACACTGGAGTAATATTGTATTTTATGACTCTTTGAGAGAGGGTTAGTGTTGTTTAGGACGTGTATTACTTCGGCTGTTGGTTTAATACATTCACAAAGACAGAAATATCATCCTGTGTGATTCTCATTCAATACAATTCACTGTGTCCGTATAAGGAATCAGAATACATGTACTGGGAATAATCTCTTTTGAACTCCTGTCCTGTGTTCAGTCTCACACACACACACACACACACACACACACACACACACACACACCGGTGATTTACTGAGACGAGAGCGGGAGTGTCCTGTGTGAAGCGGACAGTCCTTCAGTCCTGCAGATGTGCTGGTCCGTTCCCGGACGGGTCTGTCGATGCAGGAACATGAACATCTCCTCATCTGAATAAGAAAAAGGCTTAACGCTACGCTTTTAATTCCCAACCACAAATTATTGGTCAGGAAATGAGCTAAATTTAAGCAAATGCATGCATTTAAGCTATTGATGTCAGAGTAATGTAGTGATGGATGGCTGTGAAGCGGAGCGGGGTCTTCAACTAAAGCGTCTGTAGCTCTGAGACCCGTAGAGGAAGAGCCGTGTCACTCATCGAGAACTGCACAAACACTTGGGATGAGGAGAGATCAGATGATATTACAACCAGTCCATCCGGCTCACGTCCAGATCTGAGCCTTACAGTCGATGTCTTCTGTTAAACTCACACAAACATGCAGACATTGAACAGCACTGAGTCCTCCTGAAGCTGATCCAACTTACTGTATTTAACCCATCGAGTGTCAGAGTCTCAGCATGTTCTCTCTCTCTCTGTGTGTGTGTGTGTGTGTGTGTCCAGCTGTGGTTGTCAGACTCGGAGACGCCGCATCTCCTGCCTCCTCCACGCTCCAGCTCGGTGTGGGATCAGCTGGACGTCAGCGCTGAGACGGACACTATCCCGGACCGTCAGATGTCCAGCGCTGAGGATCAGGACAGCGGCGTTCCCAGCCGGCACGGCAGCGGAGACTCCGGCTTCAGCTCCACCGAGGAGGACTCCAGCGTCCGGCCGCTCCGCTCCACACACACCGACCACAGGTGCAAGACGGACACGCTGCACAGGGAAGAGATGCATGATGGGACGCTGGAGATCTACGCTAACTCATGACAGACACGACTCAGTTTAGACTCGTTTTTCTTCTTGTCCATGTGACCGCAGTGTGATTGTCATTTCAGCCATATTTTCATTTCTGTATTTAACGCATGCAGATTCTTTATGATTCTTATAGAATCTTTATTAATCTATTCGTTAGCTTTACTCTCATCTATACCCAATGTCAGATTAAAACACACTCTATCATACACAGTTTCCTTGTTCTTCTAGTGTTTGTTAAAACCCAGTTCCTGTTGTTTACATGCATATGTGCTCCAGGAAGAATGTATTCATTCAAATGTTTGTCTATTTTTACTCTCATTGCATTTGTTTGTTGTAATAATAACAGCTTGAGGCTCTACAGCACATCTATTTCCACAACCTCAGGGGAGATGATGATTATTAGCTTACTTTCAGCTTACTCGATCAGATGACCTCATTGAAACCGGTTTGTGTCCGACAAACAACAACACACTAACTCACAGAAAGAGCATGAGACGCACACACTCTGGATCTCCAATGTAATATAGACTAACGTAACGCAACTGAACTGCCTTGTGGTTTCCAGTCTCAATATCTAATGATTCTTTAATCAAGATTTAGCCCGCCACTGTGTCCACAAACTCCTCAAAACACTGAACTAAACAATACATTTTACAAAACTGAACAATTTAATTTTAAATGTATTATTAGCCCCTCAATACTTAGAGCGCTGTTCGCTCAGTCTGGCTCTCACACACACACACACGCACGCACAGCGAGTCTGCTGCCACACACACACACACACACACACAGTGAGTCTTCTGCCACACACACACACCCGCCCTTCTTCTCACAGCTAGCCACGCCCATTTAAGTTGCATTTTTCAGAAAGATTGTTGCATGACCCTTTATCTTTAGTCTGTCACCCATAAAAATTAAAAAAAATTAAAATCATGAACTCAAATGTCACTTGTGAAAAAAAAGTGCTACTGTTGTAATAGTACACAGGCTAAATCAGACGATTAATTTTTATTTATTTATTTAACAGGGACAGTGTACGGCCATACCAGAATTAGCTACAAGCTAAATTTCATCTGTAGTCCCTGGGCAGGAAAGGAGAACATACAACCAACAATCCAGCAACACATATAAAACCATAAAACATCATCATACACATATATACCATAAAAACATCACACAAATCACCTCTCAGACAACAAGTTTCACATGACCAATGGGTACATGATTATATAGATTTTAACCAGAATTTCACTTTATATTTAAAACAATTGAATGTACTAGTGTCTCTAATGTCCTTTGGGACTGAATTCCAGTGTTTAGAGGCACTGATAGAGAGGCTGATCTGCCAAACTCGGTACGTCTGTGTTGAATGGCACAGTGACCTCTACTGGATGCCCTAGTTGTTCTCCGGCTATCTGACAGCAATATTATTAACTCCTCTAATGGGGGCGCAGACAAATTATTTAATACTCTGTACACTAAACAAACATTAGCAAAAAATATAAAATTTTCAAAAGTAAAAAAATTGTTTTTGAATGATATTACAATAGTGATAACTTGATGTTTTTTTATCCAATACTTTTAAGTGTTTGTTTATATAGCGTTTGTAATGGAGCAAGTATTGTTTTTCCAGTTTGTGACCAACTTGTAATGCAATATGTAAAATGTGGGACAATCATTGAATACATATACAATTTAGCAGCATCTAGAGGTAACTGATTACGAATGTGTCTAAAATTTCTTAAATTAAATTTCACAGTAGTACAAACCTGCTTTATATGTTTCTTAAAAGACAACTGTGAATCAAGAGTAACTCCCAGATATTTAAAATGTGACACAACCCGGATGTTTTCCCCATTTACAACCACATCTGGCTGATTTTAATTTTTCCTTATAGAAAAGTACATACACACAGTTTTACTGACGTTTAGCGTCATGCAAGACCCAGACAGCCATGTGGCAATTTTAGCCATTGCTATGTTAAGAAGTTTTGTCCCTCATCTACAAGGTGCTAAGCATGTGCCACACCCCCTCTTAGCCTATTAATCTGCATATTAACTCTAGCTCCAATCACCTGACTTCTTAACCAATCAGGACTCTATATCTGGCTTTATTAACTGCACCTGTGACCACAGCATCTAACTTTGTAGCACATGGATGTACTGTGCAGAGGACTGAGTTTTTCCTCCTTTGTGCTTTTCCTGCGTGTGCGTAATTGACTATGTAAGTGCCTTTTGTTTTATGCTTGGTATCATTTTGTATTCCTTAAATTTATCTTTAAAGGTGTTTATTCTTATGCTTGTTTAATTTCCTGTTTAGGCATGGTCTTAGTTATTTAGATAACTCATATATTGTTTATTGTAACAAATGGTGTATTCCTATGTTCCTTTGTAGACACCACACGCACACAAAGGCAAATAAAGAATTGATTGATACCTGAGTGACTAGACTGGACCTGTTCTTACCGACAGCCCCATTGGCTTCAAGCTAGCTACCTTGTTATCCCCCCACTCCTTTTCAGCTACTGTTAATTCGGTTGCCACTTCGTGTCTGTCTCTTCCATGTGCCAGAATGACTGTGTCATCTGCATACATTAGAGTACTAACTTGAGGACATACTAATGGCTAGTCATTAACATATAGACTAAATAATAAAGGGCCTAAAACTGAGCCTTGTGGGACGCCAACAGTACAGTTACTAAAAGATGACATTTTATTCCCAACCCTGGTACTTTAATACTGTGTGAAAAGTAGAAATTATCATATTCATCTTTGACTTGTCGAAGCACACCTTTCCTTAGTAACTGAAACTTTCAGTTATTCTTCACCGGCAGACCATACAACAAATATTATGGTAGTTAGGATTTTTTAAAGGGAAATTACATTATAGCAGATGAAAATGTACCTTTTGTTAAAAAAACTGAGTCTGCACATGCGCATAACCAGTAAGTAGCAAATCTCGATGGCATGAATGGTCTGAACACCGGCCGAAGTACTTTTGTACTCGACCAATCAATCATCCTTTAACCTTCTGGGCTTCTTCGTCCGAAAACCACCCAAAACTTTTACGTTTTCAATTTCAAGCTTTCTATATATAGATAAATTTCTCATGTCTGTGACTCGGCATTCGCTGAGTTTGGGTTAATTTATGATGAGGTGCGCTCATGATACAACAAGTGGCCGCGCCGGCGCCTGTCATCATGATTATTGTCTGCTATATTTGACTCTTATTTATTAAATACAGGCAATTGCTTTGTAACATTAACACAAATGTGAGACATTAACTGTTGGTGATGTCATAGAACATATTACATGGGTTATGGATAATGTTCATAATGAATAATGAATGTCATGTATATGGTTCATATGTATTCCTGTGTATTGTGGTAATAATGGTGGATATCTCTTTAAGGCTTAGGACGGCCTTGATTACGAGGCAAGGCGCACAAGCTAATTTAATGGTGCTGAGGTGTGCGCTAGTAGGGTCGTTAAAGAGTAAAGCTTTCCTTAGTTATGGTTCGAGAGATTTTCCGCGAACTGACTGTATCTTGGTTGGAAAGACTGTGGCGCGATCTTGAGCCTGGACATTTTTCGGGTTAAGTTCATGGACTGGGACAGAAAAGTGGGGAAATTGTGGAGTTGCACAATATTATATTTCTTTCATAATATACAGCGCTCAGCGCGTCAAGCAAATGAACGGGTTGATATGTGTTTTTTTTTTCTGTTGAATGATTTTCAGCGCCGTCTGAAGATTTGTTTTGGTGTGGTGTGTGTTATTAACTTCCATTGTGTTTGAGCATGGTTATGTGTTACGATTGAAGTGTATGATTTTTCTGATTATTGCTTTCATTCTAAGGATCCCCTTGTGCGTTTATAGTGACACATCTGTTAAAAACAAAGAGAATTAAATGGTCGAGTGTTACAGTTTAATAGAAAACTGATTAAAATTAAGAGACAATTTATGCAAAATGAAATTCACTTTAAAGAAAGGCTTTCTTCAAAATATAATTTCTCTGATGGTCTTCAAAAAAAAGTCACACTCTATCAGACCCCAGACAATAACATTTAATTTTGTAGCAGAATAATATAATTTTTTTAACAAATATAATTTTACTCTGTTTATTAATGTTTTTACTCAACATTTGTGTAGTTTTTGGAGGATTTATGATTTTTTTTTTTATTTCTATAAATAAATATTTATTTAAATAGGATTTTTACAAAAAAAACAGCATTTTATGTTAAATAAACTTTATAAAAGACCCAGATTTCTAACTTTCTTTCCTGGGGATATATGGATAATTTTACAAGGTTGAATGTAAGATTTTTGCCCTTTTTTTTTTTTTTTTTTTTTTTTTTTTTGAAAATACACGTTAAAATTTGTAATAAGTCACTTTAACCACTAGATGGCTATAGAGCTCCACTAGGCCTATATACAGTGATGTGAATAAGTTTGCACACCCATGCTAAAGTTACCTAAAAAGAGGAATAAAAAAATCATCTTTTGGATATTGATCTTAATGCCTTAATTAGAAAAATGAGGAAAACTCCAACCTTTAAGGACACGAATTCACCACACCTAGAGATTGACATGGGGTACTTTCCATAAGATCATCTTTCAATGCAAATCAAACCAGCTATTAGGCTAACTGAAGTAAAACCATGCCAATCTCTAGGTGTGGTGAATGGTGTGTGAAGATGATGTGGGGATATTTTAATCCCAAAGGCCAAGGGAACTTTATCAGGATGCATATTATCCTGGATCCATGAAATAACTGGCTTTTAAAAATAAAAATCTGCCTGACTCTATGGGAATTTAACATAGGGGTGTCCTGACTTATGCACCCTGTATTTTAAGGAAAAACATTTATTTATTTATAATACATTATTCATTCACAAAGAAAATTTGTGTCCTTAAAGGTTGGAGTTTTCCTCATTTTTCTAATTAAGGCATTAAGATCAATATCCAAAAGATGATTTTTTATTCCTCTTTTTAGGCAACTTTAGCATGGGTGTCCAAACTTACTCACATCACTGTACTATCTGAATTACTGAAAGATATAGTTTCTAAAGTTGGATTCATATCTAAATATTATAAAATCACAATTATAACAAAAATAAAATACTTTTTGACAAAGTTTAGCATTTGTTTTTGGAACAACTAGGAACAATAGTTTGGAACAATAGAACAATAGTTGGTCTCATCTCTT